ATGATTTATATTTATGATAACTACTCATATATTTCAACATCAAAATTAACTACTAAATCATATATATATATATATATATATATATATATATATATATATATATATATATATATATTAGAGTGGTCCTTAATATGGACATTTTCAAATTTTCTTGCTCCCAAGGGCTCAAATGGTTCCAAATTGATAAAAAACAATTCTCTGAAAGTGTTAGCTCTTAATATTAACTTTTAGATAGTGCGCAATTCAATCAAACTTTGTATGAAAATAGCATACAATTTTTTTTGAAAATTAAAAAAAAAAATTTTTTTAGGCATAACTTAGCGACAAATGTATTAAAAGTGAAAATACGTGTCATTTTTTATTGAAAATTCGACGCACCGCAAAACAGTTTTTTTTATAATTTGCTATGCAAAAGACTGACATGGATACATCACATAAAAACTAAAATACAACAAATTAAACTAAAAATTAAAGAATTATTTTGGCTCATAGGAAGAAACTCTGTACTATCACTGGATAATAAGGTTTTAATATATAAAACCATTATTAAGCCAATTTGGACCTATGGCATTGAACTATGGGGATGTGTCAGTAAATCTAATATTGTTATGATGCAAAGAATCCAGTCTAGGACTCTTCGTGAAATATGTAATGCTTCATGGTATGTTTCGAACTATACTATTCACAATGATCTGAACATACCTTATATTAAAGATGTTATCAAGGACAAAAGCATCACTCATAACCACAAAATTGAAAACCACCCTAACAGACTATTGCAACCGCTTATACGTACACCAACAAGGAGAAGACTTAAAAGAAACTGGCCTATAGGTCTACTCGAGTAGATTTATTATCTTTAGGTCACTCAATGGAGTGATCCTGATACTATTATTTTATTATTATTATTTTATTATTATTATTATTATTATCATCATCATTATTATTATTATTATTAATTATTATTGTTATTATTATTATTATTATTATTATTATTATTATTATTATTCCTATTACTGTTATCATTATTATTTATATTATTATTTCATTTATTATATAGATATAATTTTGTTGTTAAACCATAGCAGAATAGCTTATAAAATTTTATGTAATTTTGATTGCTGTTTATTAATAAAAAAAAATAAAAATAAAAATAATTTCTTATGTAAAGCGTCGAATTTTAAATAAAACTCATTCATTTGTTCGCTAAATTATATCTAAAAACATTTTTAAAATTTTTGATTTTAAAACTTTTTCATGCTATTTCCATACAAAACTTTGAATTGCACACAATTTAAAAGTTAATATTAAGAGCTAAAACCTTCAGAGAATTGTTTTTATCAATTTGTAACCATTGGCCTTTGGGAGCAAGAAAATTCGAAAATGTTCATATTAAGGACCACCCTAATATAAATATATATATATATATATATATATATATAAAAGTTTGTTTCTCGATGTTCGTTTGCTTAGGACACCTAAACTACTGAACCGATTTTAAATTTTATTGGCTCACTGTGTGCAATTATATCCAACTTAGGTGATAAGATATATTCAAAATTACATTTAATATTAGAAATATATAATTTTTAGAAATTTTAATAAATATTGACAGTTATGAATTAAAAAAAGAAGACACTGTGAAATGACTGTTGCCCATATTTATGAAAACTTCGACATAAATCGATTTAATATTCAGATTTGATTTGCTTACCATGTTAAATCGGATACTTTAACGTCATCAAAACATTATAAATTACAATGTAAAAGCAAAATATTACATTTAACATTAATTATAAATAATAGAGTTCAAAAAATCTAATATCATTGACGAGTTCAAAAAGAAACAATTATTTTTTAATAAATTCAACATTTATATCCC